GTTAGCTTTAGACTGAATTAATTAATCAAGTAAATTACATAATAAATTAATTATTTTATGCTTCAAAGTTTTAGACAAAATCACAAATGCATGGCCTAACCATACTAACTATTATATTTCACATTTTAGGTTATATATAATATAATATAAAAGTATGATAATAAAATTTTATACAACACAAAAGATGGCTTTGAGTCAACTTTTTGAGTAATTTATAAATAAATTATATTAATATAAACATTAATAAATTAGACTTGTAATCAGTTTTCTCTAGTAAAAGATATCTGATATTAATTCGATTTCGATAAAAATTGATATTATAATTTATTATAATAACATTTAGTCGTATGTAAAATTTTAGTGTATAGAGGGGGGCAAAAATTACTGGACAACATAAATATCGATCATTTACATCAAATTTAAAAAAAATTTTAAACCGCAATAATTTAAAAACTATTGCAACAAATTAAATAAATTTTTTTTTATTTAACATATAAAATTCAAACTATATACATAACATTTTAATATTTTGTAGGATTACCTTTATGGGTTATAACAGCAGCGATCCTATAAGGCATACTATTAATCAAATTTTTATATTTATTTTCATCTAATTTTAACTATTCCTCCTGAAGTGCTTGTCATAATTGTTCTCAATTTTTTGGTAATGGTTTGTGTGACCTAACCTGCCTATCCAATTCTTGCTATAAGTGTTCTATAGGATTTATATCTAGACTTTGTGCAGACTATGGAATATTTATTATATTTTTCTGTCTTTTCCAATTTTTTGCATGATCAATATGAATAGAAGTGTTATCTTTTTGAAAAATCCAACTTTCTTTATTCTTTAAAGTTTGTATATATGGTAATAAATTATTTTCTGCATTTATCCTTCCTTTTAGTTTAACTAAAGGTCCAAGACCACTTTTCGTAAAACAACCCCATACCATATAACACTTTCTTGTCCTGATTTAAATGTTGGAATAAGGCAGTCTAAATTGTATTTTTCATGGTTTTTTCTCTAAATATATCTTTTTCCATTTCTTTTAAATAATTCAAATCTGGATTCATTACTTCAAATAATATTATCCCACTCTTTTTTCCAATTTTTATGCTCCTGAAACTATAAAAATCTTTTTTTCTATTAGATTCAGTAATAAGAGCTTTTTTTACTCTAACCCGCCTATAATAACCTTGGTTATGCAAATAACACTTAATAGTCTTAGTGTATACATTAGTGAATGTAGAAAAAATAAAATTATCTTTTATTTTCTGAAGATTTGTCTGTTTCTTTTTTTTAAGAACTATTTCTAAATGATGACCATCTCTATCTGTAATAATGGGTGGTCTACCACTCTGAGTAGACATTGTTTCAAAACCCAAATTTTTATAAGCAAAGATAACATCATGAACGGTGTTTTTGTGATGGTTAGACCCTCAGCTATATTACATTTTCAAGCACTGACGATTTCTTCACGTTCAATTCTGTTTTTTTGGTAATCATTTTTTTTATTTAACGAAAAAAAAAGATTAAATATTTGCTGTACTATCTTTCTTACCAAATTTTGCTAAATTTATAATGTCGTTCGTTAAATTTTTGCTTATTTTTGCTTAGTTTATTATTTTATTCTTATTAACCTTCTTATTAACCTTTTTAAATCTTTTTAAACCTTTTTAGGCTCTTTAGACTTTTTTGGCTTTTTTGGCTTTTTTAGTATCATACGAGAAATATTCTGTTTTATATGTTGTTTTGTTTCATTATGCTTTGCTATGCTATACTATTTAGCTTATGCTATTTGTTCAGCCTTGTTATGTTGATCACATTTGCTATTTTGATTGTTGTTGCTATGCTATGCTATGCTATTGCTTCACAATTTTTTTTCTTTGTAAAAAGGTTCTTTATATAGAAAGTAGAAAAAAATTTTTTATTTAAATTGAATAAATAATGAAATAAATGTTTGGTAATACAAAATATAACTTTTGGATATAATATGATCAGATTATTGGTTAATATTAATGAATGAACTGATTAATTTGAAATCAAATATGTTAGGCTGAATCCATTTTAAATTAGATCATAATGTAAAACTCAATAATTGTAGATAAACTGGCTAATATTGGCGAATTGGGTAGGACTGATTAACTTAAAAAACAAATATTTAGTCTGGATGTATGGATTGGATCGATTTAGATGATTAGTAATAATAAATTTGATATTTTGTGACTTATTTTGTTTTGATTATTAGTAATATTTTTTTTTATAAAATTGCGATTATGTAATAAAGGTTCATGATGAGATATGAAATAAAAAACCCATATAATTCATTCAACATTAAAAATAAGGCAAATAGGCGGACACTATCAAACCTTATTTATTGATAATCAATCCTTCAGAATCACACTATCACGCATCAAAGCAATAATAATAGATGAAGTATCAATGGTTTCTAATGAACTCTTCACTTTTTTAAGCAACATGTTCAGCTCGCTACATAAAAACCGCAAAGTTTTTAGTGGCATATCCATACTTGTAATTAGTGATCTCGCATAATTGCCACTCGTAAATGGAGAACAAATCTTTTATTCACAAGCCTAAAAACCATTTTTCCCTTATATTTAACGAGATCACACTGACAAAAAGATGACTTAGAATACTACCAACTCCTCCAAGAGTTAAGATTTGGGACCCTCTCTGAAAAATCAGTAAAAATTATTAATGAAAAATAAAAAGCTCTAGAAATATCAAAATATACTAAATTCTACTCACATAGTTGGTCTCTGTGAAACATCTGAATAAATAAATAGATTTATCTGTCAAAACTTACCATTCGATGATCAATGTTCCGATCTGATCCTCTCAAAAGCAATCGATACCTTAAACTCAACCTCAAAAGACATTCAAAACTCATTCAAACATTACACAAACCTTTCTGAATCCATAACTATCCAAGAAGGCACGAGAGTAATGTACTTGAACAATAAACTAATTGATAATGGGATTTGTAATAGAACCATAGGAATTATAACAAAAACTGTATATGCTGAAAATGTCGAAGTAACATTCCCAACAAACAGTAATATCGTTAAAATGAATGTCTAGAAAATGATCGCTAATTTTGAGATAAACTGTATACACATCTCAAGATACCAATACCCATTACAGAACGCATTTGCCCTAACAGTACACAAAACACATTACCACACGTAACTTTGAATATTGACAAAAATATGTTTGCTTCAGCCAAACATATGTAGCTATGAGTAGGGCCCTCTCATGAAACCAATTAGATATCCATTCGTTTGATATAAATTCCATCAAGATCGATAAAAATGTCTCAGACGAATATAAAAGATTAAACAAAATATCTCGAAACGTTTTAAAAACAATTCGTTAATAAAAAAAATTATAATAAGCTCACATCACGTATCATGACGTATCACAGGCTCCCATAGCATCTGAAATCTGTAAACTTGTTTAATGAATAGCCAAAGCATTTTTGGGAAACATTTTAAAAAAAATTCAGCCTAAATAAACATACTAATTATGGAAAAATCTTGTTTTTTTATTTAATATTAATTAAGAAATGATCTGCCCAGTGACCCCCTCTGTATAATTATGTATGATTTTCCAATCAGAGCTAATTAACTTGAATAAAAATCATTTTTATGATGTTTTTTATAAGCAGTGATTACCCCATTTTGCAGATCAGATAATATTGGGATTATCAAATAAAATAAAATCAGTAACCTTTTAGGGAGATGAGGTGAGTGGGGGATTGACGCTTGATTATTAGGTAATATGTACCTCCCTTAAAGGTTAATTAAATCAACAATTCGGATGCTTTATTTGTAAGGCATAATACATCTCTTGGCAAATAGAATAAGCATCAGCAAAATTTACGAATTTAGAAAGAAACAGTAGCACGACAAATGTTTTTGCGTTGAAAAAATTTTTTTTTCGAATATTAATTGTCAATCCCCAAGTATAACACACTAGCATACAGAGAAATTTGAAATTTGCGGACCGTGTCATTCTACGATATTGCAGAAACCGGTACGATACGATCGTAGTGCCTGGCAAAACTCCTGGGGTTTGACGGGGTCAACTGTCAAACCTATAGTAAAATTCCGTCGAAAGTCGAAATAATATTCAAGTCTTATTTAAAAATTCGTCGAATTATCATCCACTTTTTATTTATGATCTTCAGAAACTTATTTTCTGATAATTCTCAAAAGAGATCCAAAATAATAACTGAAAACGAAACATCTTTATGAATGACCAATAAAAAAAGCCGATACGTCATCTTGATTCGCAGTAAAAAGGATAATTAATTACCTAATATGAGGTTATTCTTGTAATTTATCCAAATATCGTATCATTTATTGTTTGATGACCTTAAATTACAATGTATAGCATTTACGGCAATTATATCATATTTGTTGACCATTCGGGTCAAGTTAATTTTTAATTAACGGCTTTACAAAAAGTGCCGGTTTGAAACTTCTGGTCGAACACCGACAATTGATTAAATTTTGATTTCGATTAAATGAATATATTTTTATTCTTGATATGCTTTTACATTTCCAATTTATAAGAATGTTCTACAAATAACTTTGAATCTTCATTATCCAACAAGTCCATTAAATTTCGATTTGACGGCTCAAAAAGAAAAAGAAAGTCCAAAAGTGTATCAATCATTGGATTGTACATTATTAAAATGACGAATCTTACTAATGGGTAATCATTTGATTTAAACATAAGAAAATGAAAAGATGGGATTTTCAGGAGAAATCCTATGACAATTAAACTATCTATTCTTTTTGCATTGTCCAGAAAGAGTTTTTTTTTTTTTCTCTTTTATTATTATCTTTTTAATTTTATGATTGCATGAGGAAAAAAAATACGAGAATCCCATCAGTAATGCTGAACTTTAAATTCGTTATATAAAGCGAATGGTTTGGACTTCTTTTTTGTCATCTTACTACTGAAAACTCACAAAATGAAATCGAAATTTTTTACCTTATTATTTGGACTCTTTATCATCCCGAGTGTGATCGGTTGGGCAGATCAAGGTCATCAAATAACCGGTTACATCGCCCAGAAACTTCTCAACCCCGAAGTGGCTAATCGTGTCGCGAAAATTATCCAGGAACCTGCTTATCATGGACAATTGACTGATCTTGCACCTTGGGCTGATTACGCGAAATATCCATGGTCTAAAGAGCTACACTTCGCAAATACACATGATAACCCTCCCGATACGTGCCACGTGGATTATGTATGTAACTTGTCCGATGAAAACTTATCCGTTGTTCGATATTTTCAATACTTACAGTGTCTTCCAACATAAATCATTGCTTAGGATCATGATTGTCTTGGCGATCGTTGTGTAATGGGCGGTAAGATATCAAAAACGCGTGGCATCTTGTGAAAATTTCGTAAAAATTACGCAACATACATGTACTGTATACTTACACGTATGGCATATAAATGTATATATATTTTTATAAATCTAGCAATTGTTAATTACACGAGACGACTGGATTGTGGTAGTGATCTCGACGCATTCCAGAGAGATGAAGCCCTCAAATTCTTGACCCATTTCATGGGTGACATTACACAACGTAACTGTGATTTCCGTTTTCTTTTCTCATTTTTTCTTTTCTTCCTTTTTGAGCCTATAATTAAAGAATCATTTATATTAGCCCTTCACGTTAGCGGTAAAATGGGCGGAGTCAGGACCAAAGCGAGATTTAAGAAGAATAAAAGAACAACGTAAGATATTGTCATCTTTTTGACGTGTTTCCTCCGCGATAATTATTCCTAACCTATGATGTCATTATGATCGTTTGAATGAAAAATAGCCTTCATATTGTGTGGGACCTCCTTATACTCAAAAAACGTACAAGGGAAGATTTCCATGACGATTTCAAACTTTATGCAGAATTCCTATTGGATAAAATCAGGAACGAATATGCACATGAAGTTGGAAGCTGGTACGCATGTAACGTAAATGATTTACCGGGTTTGCTAAAATGTGTACTCCCTTGGTCCGTTGAAAGTAACGCAATGAACTGTGAATTTGTAAGCGGTTGCAACGAGAAATCGTTTCACTTTTTTCTTTTTTTTTTTTTTTTGTTTAATCTTTTTTCTTTTGGACAAATAGGTTTGGCATTACTCTGAAGATGAAGCGTTGGAAGATAGATATTATCAAGAATCCAAACCAATTGTTGATAAATCGCTTGCAGAAGCCGGATATAGGTTGGCAAGATTGTTAAATGAACTCTTAAGTAAAAGTGGTTGTTAAATGATCTCTTAAGTAAAAGGGGTTGTGGGTCGTCGATCTAATCTTTTGCTAATAAATCCTTTTCCTTTTATGTAATTCTTAATAATGATTGATGTTGACAAAATCTTTTCACAATGGTTATGAAAATGATTTATGAGATTAAACTTTTAAACTATTGATATTTGTTACGCGTGGGACAAAATCCAGAAATTTGGTAAAATTATATAGAAATTGCACTATATTTTTTTTTATGGGTTCACAAGCTGTTAGTAGGTTAATTAAAAGTGAAAGAGAGTAAAATACTTACATGGATCGTGTTACTTGTCCGCATATCAAGAGAGTTGTGGGAGAGTCTGCACTCGTAACTACTGTCATTGGGCGTTACATGAAAAAAAATATGGAAAAAAGACCATGCCTTGTTTGTGAATTTCCTACTGCTTCTACTACAGGATGCTGTCCCAAACACTCTGCTAGGTTCCATGCACTGAATTATCGGATGAGGCAGAAGTATGGGGTGATTTAGTTCACTTTAGTAAACACCCGGTCGAGGCCCTTCATCCCAAAAAGACTACTGAATTATCTGCCGAGGAGTGAGCAAAAAATATTATTCCATTCATTAGTCGATTATTATATAAAAATTTGGCAGAAGCCTACGTCTCAAAAGTATGTGACTATGTATCCTGGCCGGAGTGACGCAAGGATAGAGATATTTTTTAATAATATATACCGATATATGAAGCCTTCTGCGGAATTATATTATATAAAAATGGCAGAAGGCTGACCTGATGCGAATGAGCTTTATCAATTTCGAAGTTACCTTTCTCAATTTATCTAAATCTTCATCAAAAGCTTTAGTAATGATTATTAGGCTTATTTTTGTTCTAATAAAGGTTTTAGAAATGGATCTTTTGTCTATAAAGTACTTAGGTATTTAATATTTGATTTGAGAATATGAGAATATTAAAATTTAATGATTTGTTAAAAGTTTTACCTCAATGGGTTCTTTGTTCGTTATTGTATCTTGACTTTGATTTGTTTCGTCTTTCCCATTCTGTTTTTTCTCTGGAGAACCTTTTATTTTATCTTTTATAACTTCTTCCATTGACGATTTAGGTATATCGTTAAACGGATTCAATCAAATCAAAAAAAGGGAAGATTACGTTATCAATTAAAAATCAAGCATATATATATATATATATTTATTTATTCATTATTATAATTTGTTTTCGATTATATGACTAAAAAAAACTTCTAAGCATTAAAGAATGTTAAATATAAAAGATTGAATTGTAAATATTACTTTATATAAATTTGGCATATTTGTTATCCCCCATTGCAAAGTCTCTATAATAAATAATATATGCATTACAACATGACTTCAAATACTCCAAAATAACAAAACTTCGATTGCCGACCAAGATTGTGTGAATTTTGGCGTGGTCCGTGAAAATTATCTGATGCTGTGTAATAAAAAGTACCTTTTAACGTAATCAAACCGAGCCTTTTGGTTATCATCATCTTTTTCGCTTCTCATGTCTCCTCCCTTTTAATTGTTCCTTTTTAAAACAAACCATGTGGAACGAGCGAATATCTCATATTAGAGAATGAAACAAATTGTCTTCGTAGAGTTACCATTATTAATCGTTAAATTTACGGAATTTATAATAATTCAATAATATAATGTGAATCCTTTTTTCAACTAAAAATAATGGTACAATGAAAGATATAACTACATTATGGTTGAAAAAAATTATAGACCATGTTTTTATCAAGTCAAAATGTCCACGATTCATTCTGAAGGTTGGCCCGTCACGTGGTCAATTAATGATTATGTTAATTTTACTTCGCTTCAAGTATTTTGGATTTATTTTATAAAAAAAAATTGATTATTTAGCAAATTTGATAATCGCATAAATGCGTCACTTTCATAAAAATTATATTTCAGTTTGCGTTTATAGTAGTTTATAAATAAACAATAGACATAATATAAACTTGTTTAAAATCTATAAATTCTACTAGATTTCTTTTAAAAGTTGTTAAGACCATTTCATAATTTTTTTTTTTTTTAATGCCACTACTAAATATTATTAATTATTGAGATTAAACTCGATCCTAAAAAACGATCTTAATGATCCATCCGATCTTTGTCTGTTCTTTAGCCGAAGGCGATATTTAACATTAGTTAAAATTCACTTATAATACATTTTAGCAAGCTTCAGCTCATAGATGGGAGTACTTCTTTTTGTTTTACGCTACTTTAATTATAAATAATTAAACAATGAATGGAGCTATTGACCTTAACTCTGGAAATGAAACTATTCGAACACGACAAGCTTTGCGTAGTGAACTTTTTACAAAAGAGATTTTTAAGAATATGATTTTCACATAACTCATCGAGAAGTTAAATGTCTTAGCTGTTCTTAAGTATTTTATATACTATTATTTACTTGCTTTTTTAAAAAATTATCATAGTTATACATTAAAAGAAATTACAATAAACAATATTACACAGTAAATAATTTCAATATTTTATAATAAATATTATAAAAAAAGACCGGTAGATTTTATCATTATAATGTTTAATCCCAAAATCCCTCTTCACACCACCCGCTATAATATATATAGGATTACCACTTATGAAAGAAGACTCTACTACAAAGTGACGTCTCCTTCTTCCGAAGACATGGGTGTATCATCTCCTTCATAAGAGGGAGTATAAGCACTCACAAGAGCGAATGCAAACTAAGGAATAGACACAAATTCTATCTTTATTGATTAAAAGATCTCATAATATATGGATGATCTTCTATTTAATCACATGATTTTAATAAATTTAATAGCCAATAACATATATTTTTCATCGCAATTTTAATTGTCATTTTTTAATTTTATTTTTTGAGTATACCTTCAAAATTCTCGCATAGTATATATAACACTCGTTTACGATTAAAGGAGCCAGAGATAATGAATTAAACAAAACTCAACGTGAACAAAGTAATTACTAAAATGGATTAATGTCTATACAGAACAAATAAAAACCTCGAAAAAGAATTACATTTACTTCATTATGAAATTCTATTCATCTACTTCAAACACATAACATAACCATCACAACCATAACAAAATTCATCTTCACAAACATCACAGCCTGTTTCAAAGTATGGATGAATACTTTAAATACGAAAAGGAAAAAAAGGAGCAAGGTAAATTTTATTATTATTTTTATTAATTTTTTATTCATCATATTTAGAAATTCAATGGAAAAATGATTTATTCTTACTATTGTTGAGTTGATTCATAAATCAATTACAAAATCGAAGAGAATGCTTGGCAAGATTGTTATCAAAAATTCTTTTTTGTGTTATGTATCAAAATTTTGTTTTTTCTTTTATTTTGTATATGCTGGATTGCTTTATAGTAAACAAATTTATCTTAATTATAAAATTACAAATAAAAATGACAAATTATATCAAAGATCAAATCGAAATTAAATCAAAAAGTTCTAAACAAAATGAAACTCCAAATAGTAGGGTTGTGAAGTAGTGTTAGTACAATGATTAGTAAAATTAGTACAGTTAGTACATTATAATAATTAATATAAAAATTAGTACAAGTTAGTACAAGTACAGTGGTAATTTTATCTAGTACATACAAAATTCCCAACCCTGCAAATAGTCTAGTCGGAATGTTTGAACTCAAATAAAAGTAATTATAACAAAACTAAAGATAAAAAAAACCAAATACTATCGATGTAAATCTCCCAAGAATAAAAGTTAAACGAAAGTAAACATAAAGGATCCAACCAAATTAAAGAAAAAATGAAAAAAAATAATAATTCACAGCTTACCAGATTCGCATTAAATTTGGGAAATCACCGTTCATGAACATTAAAATATTTAAGATTCTAGAAATTCCTGTACCTTAATAGATTTTACCATAATTATATTACATGTCGCTCAGAAAGAATATACAAATTAACTACAATGAATCCAGTTTGATTCTTCGCATCAACTAACTGAAAAAATTATTGCGATCCCGTTATGCTTCTCGTCGAAATTGATGCTAAGCCTTTTTAAACGATTTGAACGCAATTTATTATTGCTTGCAACCTGGTTAGGTTCCTAAGCGTTCTTATAGAAAGAGGCCTTTCAATACATTAAATGCGTTTGTTAGTCACGATCCTCAAATCTTCAAATAAGGGAAATAGATTGTAGGAAAAAATTCCCGCTCTTTACAAAACGTGATTCACGTACAAAAATAAATAAAATAACAAAAGTATATAAAAAAACATTTTCAGTGGTAAGCCTTATTTACAACTTTTATTTACTTGCTGTTTCTGTTGTTTTCCAAGTATAAGCTTGTGTTAGAACGATTTCAAGTCTTCCTGTATATGAATGGCATAAGCAAATCAGCACTATGATCGTGATTGATACGTGAATTGTAGCTTTGACCCGAATTCAATTGGCACGAACTCTGTATCATTATTTTGTGATAAATTAAAGTCTAATTGATTCTCGGAAATTTTATATAATTTATAGACAAATGCTGCGGAACTGGGAAAATTCTATTTAATTTTTTTTTGCATAAAAAATTTTAAACTTTAAAGAGAATAAATATCATCTGATCAAATTATAATTTTTTGTAATTTTATAAGCACACTTAAAGATATTATACACTTAAATAATTCTTAAAGAACCTAAACAACATTTATTACGTGACAAGACGTTTCTTATTCTTATACATTGTTAGTAAGTCCCTGGATTAGTCCTTTGTGAGAGATGAAACGGATCATACTGCCTCGAAGTGTCGCAGCCAAACGCCTAACATAAAACTCCGTGCTTTTAGAAAATGACTAACTTTATTTAGATTTTTATCACTTTTAAATGCACTTTAGGTACTCCAGTGGTAGGGACATTTAACGTACGATCAACGTTAAAAAATTCTCGTTAATTCGCGTTAAATCTTCTATTTTTGAATTATTATCAATAAAGTATACAGCGCGTAATGTAATCAATGTAATTCAGTAACAATTTTTATATAGCATTATAACTGAAAACTGAAAACAAATTACCGAAACGTTAATATGATTATAATAAAATTATACTTTAATAAAATATTAAGTCCAACGAGTAGGAACCCAACTCACTTGAATAAACACTAATTAAATATAACATAATTAGAACTTTAATCTATTATTAATTATTTATTTAAGAAATAATCATTTAGTTAGTGCTTTAATTACCTGCATATAATAAGTTGGTATCGAGCATCTCTTATAAAATTTTATAATAAAAAAAAGATATAGAATCAGTACATCTAAAATTTATATCGTTCATGTAACTTTAAAAAAAGGCGATGAAAAATCGTGAATCACGTGATCAAATCCGACATAAATAATTGTAATTAAGTTTATTCTTGAAGTTGATTTAAATTGCAAAATTTGATTTATAATTTATAATTGTTTTGTAATGATAAATCAGCGGGATTCCTTTTAATAGCTTTTTTAAGATTGATCAATCTGCATAATATCACTTTATGTCTGTCTATAGAATTAAACTTTTTCATTTAATAAATGTTTTAATTAGGTATCTAAACCAGATTGATAATAATTAATTAAATCAATCAATATTTTAACGATAGATTATTTAAAAGAATTTGAAATTATCAATTTAATCAACCATCTAATAACTCGAGATAAAATAGCTTTTTTAATTCAAAAAGTGAAAAATTTATTTTTATTTCATTATTCATAATATGTAATGTTATTTAAAAATAAAAAAATTTTTTCATCTTCAACAAAATTTTTATGAAAGAAAAAAACATTTGGTTCTTTCGAGTGTTGTTCTTTAATTTAAAATTATGACTCTTATCATTTTTAAATTATAAAGAATAGATAGATATTATTGGACAAAGAACTCTTACTTCTACTATTTAACAAAGAAAAAATGTTTTATTTCTTATAAAATTTGTAGGTACAAAACGAATTCTTTTAAAAGAGAGTACAAAAAATTTAAAAAATCAAGGTATTATAATATATAATATTTATTTTTTTATCTTAATGTCTAATGAATTACTAAATATATTTATTTTTTAGGTTTTGTTTCTGCTTCTCAATTTTTTTCACAAAGATCGAATTACAAAATTCTTTAAATAACTAGAACAAATGAAGATCAAAATAAGACTATATAGTATATAATAACAATGCTAGTATTGTTAAAGTAATTACTAAGCTGCATCTTTTGACTGCTTTTACTCTAAAAAGATCAGAAAGTAAGCAAGATGGATTCCAACCCAAAAATATTCATCTTCGATATTCTAAATGGTAGTATTGCGTCCTGTAATTGTAAAATTCACGTCTGTATCGTCTTCTATTATATATTCTATAGAAATTCTATAATTATTATATTTATACTTTTTTTTTTTAAAAAGAAAAATAAAAAATAAATATGACTTCAAACCAAAAGTTGATTTTTTAAATTCGTTATATTTTATTAATTTAAAATCGAGATTTTTATACATAATCATCATAATTTTGAATTAAATATAGTTTAATTTATAATATACAGCATTTTCATAAAATAATAATAAAAAAATAACTTACGTCCATTTTTTTCGAAGTGAAGAAATGAAATTAAATCAAGTTTTGATTCTATTTATTTTATTTAATAGAAGTTAATTTAAAGATAATTATCTAATAGCATTTTATGATAATTCGTATAATTTAATTTTTCTTTTATCTTCTTATACTTTGAGGAGGAGGAAAGAGGGAATCCCCCTTTTATTTTTGGAGGGTAATAATGTGAATATATGACAAATTAAATTAAAATAAATAAGCAAGCAGCGTTAATACCATGAAATAATATCGGGTCTATTTTGTAAACGAACGTTTTAAACAACTAATTATATTAAAGTTGCATGTTCAAGATCATCAATTAATTATATTGGTATCCATTGAGAATTAAACTTAAAAAACAAAATGTTTGACGCGTTAAATAGATTTACCTTTATATTGTATAAAGCTCCACGTTACACTGAACAATTTCGGTTATCTCATCGAAGTTCTGCTAACACGAGTTTCTTTTTGTCGAACAGCGAATATCATCTAAAAATTTCGAATTTAATAATGTATTGTCATGTGACAAATTTACATTAAAATGAATTATGCTCTGACACCAAACTAAAGGACAGAATGCATCAATGTATAAAGCTGTAACTTCATGTTCTAAATTATAATCTAAGAATACCTTTGAATATTACAAAAGTCAAAGTTCTGGAATTAAGTTCGTTTCATGAACTCGGAAAGATGAAAGGATGGGTACTATTTTCGATGGAATTGTTTTGGAGGAAACCAATCAATTAAGAATAACTCTATCAATCATTGAGGCGGCTGATATTATTCCTCATCCCAACAACTGAATCATCCATTGATTTTTGGAGAATAATCTTCTATAAAAACACAATGAATTTGAGCGACTCAACAAGTTCAACTTTCACCAACCTATAAGAAAATGAGATCAAGCAATTGTTTTTGTTTTTTTTGAAAAAATGTGTATTTTGTACTTTTAAGGATACATTGTTTGCACAATATTTGTTTTTTCTATTTTATTATAAATTATCAAAAAATTACAAAAAATATGTTATAAATATTTGCCCAAGAAATTAATGCAACTTATTTCCAGGCAACACTGAGTACAGACATATCACTAATAGTATAAAAAGATTGATATGTATTAACACGTCCGAGGTTTTAAAGTTCTGATGGTGAATTTAAGAAGGTGGGCATTCAAGGCATGGTAGACATCTGAATAATCAATGAGCATGTTTGAACCTATGCAAATTTAATCGCAATAAATTCAAAGAGATCTTAAAACATTTAGATATTTGAAACTGGTCTCTTTTATAGTTCATCTACTGTATATTTATTATCCTAGATATTTCCCGTTCAGTTTTGATCTTAGCAGTAATTGATAACTTAAAATATAAGTTAGAAACGTTGAGTACCCTGAACAATTTTTTTCAACCATAAGCTTGGACAAACTTTATGTGTCGACATAGTAAATAGATATGTTCGAAACTTGAATTAAGGATGAATCTTCTACCTTTCAATCATACTCCAAAAGTTTTGATTGAATCCTTATATGGTGATTGATCTTTCAAAGAATCTTTAGCAAATATTGATCATGTCCTTAATAAAGTAAATTAATAGTAATACAAACTATTCCATGTAAAGTAGCTTATTCCTGGAGTTTTTTTAATGATCATTCTTTCTTTGTTTTCATAGTTTAGCACCATTCACCTCCCTATTGATTTTTGTTCTCAATTTGAACAGTGACTTTTAACACCGTGTATTATCCAAATAAATGGACAAATGGAAAATGCAGAGACTCTCCTCTAGTAAAGGTTGATTGGCTGACTATTTCCTTTAGTTATAAATTAACCAGATATAAACACCATGCTCGTTAGGTGGACCTAATGTAGAAGTCGAGAATTTTTCGCAAGCCATTGGAAGAAAGGTAAGTCACAAAAGAAGCACAGTCGGTTCCTTCGATAGGCCAAGTTGTGTCAATTGTTAAATTGACTTTAATTGACTTACCAAGTTATATTGTTTCGTATAGTTAGATAAAAATATTTGGTTTAATGACGAACTTGCAACCTAATTCTTTTTAACTATCAATTTGATTTTTAATTCACCTTGAGGACTTCTCTTAACAAGACCAACAATAACGACAAATAACCGCAACAGCAGCGACCCCAACCACGAAGTTACTAGTTTCATTCCAATCTCTAGAAGGTTCGCGTAGAATTATTCTCGGTATTCTCAGCTGAACATCGAAAGGGAGGTCAATCACTCTTCGTAGTTCAACTGGCGGTGGAGGAACAACTATTGCAGCTTCAGAAAAATCAGCAAGACGATTAAAATCATCGCGAATTTGTTGCCAAGAATCCTCAAATACGTTAGCAGTGAGCTCTAAAAGATTGGTTTGGTTTAGGGCTGGAGAAAATGTATCCCGAAGGAAATTTCTAAGGCTATCCATATTTGTAAAAAGGAAAAAAAAGAAATCTTTTGTTAAGATAAAATTTAACAAAATTTTTTTAAAACCGTTTTTAACTAATTTGAGATTAAGTTATCCAATTACGATAAATTTTTTCATTGGTGTAAGTTAAACGCTTTCACGTGTTATTATTGATTAAATATTTGACAAAGTGGATTTTTGCCGCTATTCAAGGTTTTTTTTTAAGTATTACAAGTACTTTTTTATTATTTATGAGATCGGCATTTACTTCGAAAGATTCAGAAACTTATTGAAAGATTCGATATAATTGAATTATACTATCTTTTATAAAGCACAATATATGAGGGAAAAGTTTCTATATATAAATCGTCATAAAAAGCGTCGCTTTTTTTTACGCGATTATAGATTCGAAAATTATTAAAATTAAATCGACTTTTAAATTTTATTCAAATTACATAAATTCTGAAACGTTTGTCAATGTCAAAATAACAGTTATATGCAGGCGAGCCAATAAATACAATAGTGACCCAATCCAACAAATTGGTGTCGGTTCAATAACCCGGGTCTGACCTGAACACTACAGAGGCAGAATGGGCAGTAATTAGGCGGTTATCTTTTTATCGTTTGCATTTTACTAATTTCTAATAAAGTCTTGAACTTTTCTTCTTTAATTATGTATCAATACATAAAGAACTAAAAAAAAATTTAAATTTATAAAAAAAAATACCAATCGAAACTTATTTTCGATATTGCTGCAGCCAAGATTATCGTAAATGAAAAGACGATTTATGCTTTCCTCTCAAAAGAGACAGTTAGTAGAAAAATCAAAAGAGAGACAGTTAGTAGAGAAGCAAAAGAGAGAATATTAGTAGAGATCCCTCATTAAAACCAGAAAATATGCCGGTATCGGAAAATCACATACAAGTTCCCGTAATAGGAAAAGTAATTTTTTTTGTGAAAAAAGACGATATATTTTCATTTTAAAAATAAAAATCCTTGTTGCGAGATGCCGGGCACTTAATTGCACGCGACGCAGTAAATTTCAAGTAGTTAAATTTTATATTTACATATACAGTATGAAAATTTGCTTGACACGTTATTAAATGAATAACTAGAAATTGCGGATAGAGGGGACTTCGTCCCACGCAACTTATCAACCTACTCCATTCATTGCAGTGCAATTTATAAGAATCATATACTAATAAAATGAAAAGAACAAATAAGTACTTGAAATACATATATAAATTATTTGTCTTTATATAAAAGAATGTATTAATTAGCTATATTATAATCTATATAAATAAATATTGAAAAATTTTAAAATTAGCATATTTATAGAGGCAAAGCTATAGCGGCCTTTAATTTTAAGCGTTTATATTCTTCAACATCAAATTGTCTATAATGAAAGCTGAAGGATGCAGAGAAGCGATGTGCACTTTAGAACAATCTGAATATCGACTCAATGCCATATAAGCTTGTCCAGCAGAAAATATTTGATTATTAGAAGATTAGCAGTCTTTGCTCAGTGGTTAAGCTGCAAGCCCCTATAAGCTAAAGTTTTATTATACAGCGATAGGCCATGGTTCAGATATCGTGCGATACATAAAACTGTATGATTTTCCATAAGGAATTTCTTTGTAACTGAACAAGTGGGCGTATATACTAATATGTGTTATATTCTGGTTGATCAATCCATCGATTAATGTTGATCATGCCTAAATACTGCATAGAGTAAGAACAAGTAGATGCAAATGAAGTCAGGAATCGACAGAAACTTGATCATCACTGATTGGTCTGTAATAGATACAATCTTATGTCTCATCCAGCAGGGGCCCTTATTTCTGTACATGGTTGTTTCATAAGAAATGATTACATGTATAAATTAAGGAAGTGATTGACCAGAAATTAGTAGATTAGATCAATGGTGATAATAGACTGCATTGCACGCCGCAGCATCGTCTAATCGAGCATATCATTGGGTTTGAGGTTAGGTTCGATTCCTAAGATGTTTGTCGATATAGCCTGATCATCACCCCCGTTAGTTCACTGTTTGGGCAAATCTTATGGTAATAATCCCATAAACCCTGCAGCATTAATTGGGGTAAGAGTATACCCTAGCAAGGTATATGGTGTAATGGATCCCTCAGTCCTATAGTGATATGTGGTCCCAGATAGTTGGTAACCGGCAGAGAGGGTCAAATCTTCCTAATGGGCTCAAGCCAGCAATAGCACCACTAAGGGCGACGGTAATATCTGGGCCAGTTACAATGGTGTGGATTGCCAATGGACATATGAGCCAGCGGAGACCTAGTGGGTGAGGCCGGCTGATAGGGTACTTGAGATCCTGGGTCATTAACATCTCATCCAAACACTACATACTGAAATTAAAAAAAAAAAAAAACAAAAAAAAAAATAAACAAAAAACTAATCTTTATCGACGAAAGTTATTTCAGTTAGCATGAAAACCCTTTATCTTAATATTAATATTAACAATACTAACTGTATATTCTTTTTTTTCTACTAACTAATACTGCTTCTCTACTAAATGTCTCTTTTGCTTCTCTACTAACTGTCTATCTTTTGATTTCTCTACTAACTTTCTCTTTTTTGATTTCTCTATTCTACTAATTGTCTTCTCTCTTTTACTTTCTATAATCTACTAACTTTCTCCCTTCTTACTTTTTATTCTACTAACCGTCTCTCTTTTACTTTTTTATACTACTAATTGTCTTTTTTTTTTTTACTTTCATGCAAATTTTTTGAATTATCAAATATTTAAACATTTAATTTCTTTATTTATCAACTATTTATTATAGAAAAATTCTCATCAATGTTTAACTTTATGAGACTTATGATGGTATATGCTACTGTGACCTCGTTTTTGTAATAT